GACTGATTACAGCAGTACTTACCTTCCTTATAGGGGGCCAGGTACATGGTAACCCTTTACAGTGACATGTATTGTTTATAATACTGATTACAGCAGTACTTACCTTCCTTATAGGGGGCCAGGTACATGGTAACCCTTTACAGTGACATGTATTGTTTATAATACTGGTTACAGCAGTGCTTACCTTCCTTCTGGGGCCCAGGTACATGGTAACCCTTTACAGTGACATGTATTGTTTATAATACTGGTTACAGCAGTGCTTACCTTCCTTCTGGGGGGCCAGGTTGAAGTCTCCCATCATGATAATATCCTTTTCTCCTGAGGGAAGAAGTTCATTAGGATTATAATGTGTGATAATAATAGACAATCACTGAAATATACGGTGGAAATATTGTTTTCTCAATGGTAATCATGATTACTGGTGGCCATCATTGAGGATATACGTGTCTGTGGGAGGAATACATTAACTTCCATCGGACAGTAGTGTGTTGCTAGCAAAGGATTCATATATTGTAACATACAAAACTGTCAAATTCTAAATTTTCTCCAGTTATAAGATAACTATCGTAAACATCACGATTTATAAATATATTGTTTTATAAGTAAAATTATGGTATTATCTACCCTACTACTGATACTATTTTGATTAAATAAACCGAAAATGAAGGTTTCCTTGTTAAAACCAAATGGGATTAACAATGCATCAAGAAGGAACTCAAAATTTTGTAAAAAGTCTTTCTCACATTACCATAGTGTGTGCATTATTGTCTCTATTTCAGTCTTACATTGAAAACAAAGAGCACTATCTGTAAGAGCTGCTTCAACTAGATAAGAGTTTGTTGTTAAAATGTGTTGATTTATTCTGTATTGAAGCCATTTTAATTTTGAATTTCTAGTTACTGTAAAAGGAATCATATATATCAATTTCCATGTGTCATCATCAAATTCAAACAATTCATTCCATTTGTTTTTCCCAGTGGATATGGTATTATTTTGGCACAACAACTTATAAAAATCTTGAGTTCCTTTTTTATGCCTCATAAATATTTCTAAATTTAAGGGTATGTATGGATAACTAATCAAAGTATTTAAAGTATCATCATTGGACATGTAGTTTTTTATAGTATTAATAATACCTTGATATGTAAGAAAGTTAGTTTCTACATCAATTTTTTGTGAAAATTCTATAAAACTATAAAAAATACCAGAGTTATTATCTTTTAATAAGTCATTTATAATTATAACACCCTTTTCAAACCATTGCTTATAAAATAAACACTTGGCTCCTACTGTTAAATATTTGTTATACCAAATAGGCATTTTCAATCTACTAATGTCATTGTCAGTAGCTGCACTTAGAAACCTTATCAAGGACACATATTTTACTCAGAGATATATTGCTGTTAATAAAAGTGAATTATTTTTTATTGGAATTCAATATAGAATGGAAAAAATGGGAAAGTCTAATTAATACTGCTGAAACCCTGTCTTTGCCAAAATATGAACATATAACTTTCAAATCTTCTTATATAAACGTGTACTTCTAAATACTTATATGTAAAACTCCTTGAACTTTCCGACACATCTATATGGTTTCTTTGTTTCTCAATCCCCCCCTCCTCCCTCATTGTTTTTTTCTCTCTCTCTTGAGTCTTACTTTCCCTTATATACCTCTAGGACCTGCTCTAACCTCTTTTCTATCACTTCTAAACAATGCTTTTATATAACAGACACAATTTAGCAGTAATTTAATTATACATAAACATAATTAATTATTAATTATACCTGGAAATATGAAGTTTATTATAAATGAATATTTAATGAATGAACTGTAATGTGTGAGAGGAATAATGTTTATGTATGATATATTTGCATTGTTATAAATTTGGAAAAAAACACAAAAGAATACACACAAAAAGGAGAACTATCGTAATAAATAACTTGTCACTAAGAGGTTGAAATAAAGAAGTGTTTTATTTGATGCATGATCTATTCTGAGAACCTTCAGATGTTTTAAAACTGGTGTATATAAATGGACTCAAAAAAGACAGGAAGTTCTGACTGAGCTTGAATCCTGAGCTATGTCAGGTGTAAGTGGTGCCCACCTGGGTAGTGGTCCTCTATGGCCTCCACCACATGTGGTACCTGGTCTATTTCCTTCTGTAGCCGTGGCAGGTCCTGGTTGTTAAGTCCGGTGGCCTTTAGGTGTACACTCACTACGACACAGTCAAACTTACGGATCTATGGGGCGACAAAACATGTATTATAAATACTCACTAAATCTAGTGTGTATACCAGGTAATGAATTCAACTAAATCTTAAGTATTTCTTTATTTGAAGGACAAAAGCATTTTAACAAAGATACAAGTGACACTTCTTCACAACACTAACTTAAATGTTATCTTGCATGTTCCTTATTGTAATTTCCTGCTTACTTGTGTAAACATTTAGACATCTATCATGCAGCTATACCCAAATACCTTACGAGTTAGGTACACTATTTAACCATGGGGATTTCTGTAAAAAGTGGAATACATATAACAACTATAAAGCACAGCTATCTATCACAGAAGTTACCTTAAATACACCAATAAATGGCTTCCTCACAAAAGGTTTGGCCGCATTTTTGGCTTTTTCCAGAAGTGCTGAACTCTTCAGTTCTATTCGCTGTGAAGTGTCATATAGGAAACCATTGTATTCTGTGGCCTAAAACAAAACATTGAAATAAATATATAATCTTTTGACTGCTATTTAGAATTTTACAAAGTAGATATCACAAATAATAAACCTATGTTAGGAAGAAGTCATGCATGTAACCTCTTAACTTGTTTCAGGATCTCATTTCCCAAAATGTGACAGTATTACAGTAAACTGGCAACAGCTACAGTAACCACTGTCAATGTTACTAATGTATCCAGTGTCAATGTTACTATTATAACCACTGTCAATGTTACTATTATAACCAGTGTCAATGTTACTAATGTATCCAGTGTCAATGTTACTAATGTATCCAGTGTCAATGTAACTAATGTATCCAGTGTCAATGTTACTATTATAACCACTGTCAATGTTACTATTATAACCAGTGTCAATGTTACTAATGTATCCAGTGTCAATGTTACTCATCTATCCAGTGTCAGTATTACTAATGTATCCAGTGTCAGTATTACTAATGTATCCAGTGTCAATGTTACTATTGTAACCAGTGTCAATATTACTAATGTATCCAGTGTCAATGTCACTATTGTATCCAGTGTCAATGTTACGATTGTATCCAGTGTCAATGTTACTATTCTAACCACTGTCAATGCTACTATTGTAACCACTGTCAATGCTGCTATTGTAACCACTGTCAATGCTACTATTGTAACCACTGTCAATGCTACTATTGTAACCACTGCCAATGCTACTATTGTAACAACTGTCAATGTTACTAATGACTCCAGGGTCAATGTTACTATTATAACCACTGTCAATGTTACAAATCTATCCAGTGTCAATGTTACTAATCTATACAGTGTCAGTATTACTAATGTATCCCGTGTCAGTATTACTAATGTATCCAGGGTCAGTATTACTAATGTATCCAGTGTCGATGTTACTATTGTAACCACCGTCAATGTAACTAATGTATCCAGTGTCAATGTTATTATTGTAACCACTGTCAATGTTACCAATGTATCCAGTGTCAATGTTACTATTTTATCCAGTGTCAATGTTACTATTGTAAGCACTGTCAATGTTACTATTGTAACCACTGTCAATGCTGCTATTGTAACCACTGTCAATGCTACTATTGTAACCACTGTCAATGTTACCAATGTATCCAGTGTCAATGTTACTATTGTATCCAGTCTCAATGTTACTATTGTATCCAGTGTCAATGTTACTATTGTAACCACCGCAATGTTACTTATCTATCCAGTGTCAATGTTACTAATCTATCCAGTGTCAGTATTACTAATGTATCCAGTGTCAATGTTACTATTGTATCCAGTGTCAATGTTACTATTGTAACCACTGTCAATGCTACTATTGTAACCACTGTCAATGTTACTAATGACTCCAGTGTCAATGTTACTATTATAACCACTGTCAATGTTACTCATCTATCCAGTGTCAATGTAACTATTGAATCCAGTGTCAATGTTACTATTGTAACCACCGCAATGTTACTAATGTAACCACTGTCAATGTTATTATTGAATCCAGTGTTAATGTAACTATTTTAACCACTTTCAATGTTAGTAATCTATCCAGTGTCAATGTTACTATTATAACCACTGTCAATGTTACAAATCTATCCAGTGTCAATGTTACTATTGTAACCAGTGTCAATGTTACTATTGTAACCACTGCCAATGTTACTAATGTATCCAGTGTCAATGTTACTATTGTAACCAGTGTCAATGTTACTATTGTAACCACTGTCAATGTTAATTTAGTGACAATGTTATCATGGTGAAAATATCATTAAAGTAACAAAGGACCATGTCACCACAGTAACCAGTGACAATACTATGGTGACATTATTATTAAAGTAACGAGGGACCATGTTACCACATTAACCAGAGACCATGTTACCACAGTAACAAGGGACCATGCTACTATAGTAACGAATGTCATATTACCAATGTAACAAGGGACCATGTTACCACAGTAACGAAGGCCATATTACCACAGGAACCAGAGACCATGTTACTTAATTAACCAGTGACCATTTTACCACAGTAACCAGGGACCATAATTTTTTTATTAACCAGTGACCATTTTATCACAGAACCTATTTTCAATATTACTGTAGTTTATAATATTTGACAGGGAATGCCATTTCCTTTGTGGTCAGTTAATTAAAGGACTTGAAAAACTCTTAAGTATTTCTCCCGTACTGTCTGCAGCAACGAAAGCTAGAATGGCCCTGACCACATTAATATGTAATACAAGGATAACAAACGCACCCTGACCACATTACTATGTAATACAAGGATCACAAACACACCCTGACGACATTACTATATAATACAAGGATCACACACCCTGACCACATTAATATGTAATACAAGGATCACAAACACAGAATTATCATGGTACACAGAAAAATAGAAATGACTCATAATCAACAAAATGAAACTGTGTTTCAATTGATATTTTTATGTCTAAATTACATTTGACTAAAATATCAACAACCTTACTCATCTGCTATTTTAACCTTTTACAGCAATTCCATACCACATCCTTGTAGCACCTGATACATCATAATTAAGTCAGGAGAAAACCCTGTGATGTCAGCTATAACTGATTTTGAGAAGGCGTTGAGATAACTTATGCAACTGATCTGTCTTCAAATTACACAAAATCTCCGACCCAAGAACCAGGTAATGCTATGGATACAGATTTTTTGTGTGGGACTCTCTACCCTCCATTCACGCAAAACAAACCACCGTCAGCTTGCCAGTGCAATATTTATGTTATAACTTGTCTCATTCCAACATTTCAAACTTCCCACGTAAGAACACACTCTTGACTAATATAATGTACTGATTTCCATTAATGTCCTAAGCTGTCATTCACCATCCTCATCACATGTATGATAGATCCCTTATAATATAAACAATAACTGTTTATAATAACTTTTCACTGACAACCCATTAACAGCCCATTGACAGCCCACTCCCTTCTTTACACTGAGTGAATATAAGATGTATCACTAACTGGACACAATGAATATATAAAAGCAAAGTTGTGAGAATTTTGATAAATGTCCTTCATATCAGCCAGTCATTAATCACCCCCNGTGACCGATATGGAACCAGTTTCCTTATATATTTGTAATGAATTCAAGTTCTCCCACCTAACACTTCAGTGGTAGATAGCATCAGACTGATACAAGGCCGACAGAATGTATCTGTAGTCCCGAGCCCTGACTCTACAATATAGTATCTGTAGTCCCGGGCCCTGACTCTACAATATAGTATCTGTAGTCCCGGGCCCTGACTCTACAATATAGTATCTGTAGTCCCGAGCCCTGACTCTACAATATAGTATCTGTAGTCCCGAGCCCTGACTCTACAATATAGTATCTGTAGTCCCAGCCTTGACCGTACACTATTTATCTGTAGTCCCGAGCCCTGACTCTACAATATAGTATCTGTAGTCCCAGCCTTGACTCTACAATATAGTATCTGTAGTCCCGAGCCCTGACTCTACAATATAGTATCTGTAGTCCCAGCCTTGACCGTACACTATTTATCTGTAGTCCCAAGCCCTGACTCTACAATATAGTATCTGTAGTCCCAGCCTTGACCGTACACTATTTATCTGTAGTCCCGAGCCCTGACTCTACAATATAGTATCTGTAGTCCCAGCCTTGACTCTACAATATAGTATCTGTAGTCCCGAGCCCTGACTCTACAATATAGTATCTGTAGTCCCAGCCTTGACCGTACACTATTTATCTGTAGTCCCAAGCCCTGACTCTACAATATAGTATCTGTAGTCCCAGCCTTGACCGTACACTATTTATCTGTAGTCCCGAGCCCTGACTCTACAATATAGTATCTGTAGTCCCAGCCTTGACTCTACAATATAGTATCTGTAGTCCCGAGCCCTGACTCTACAATATAGTATCTGTAGTCCCAGCCTTGACCGTACACTATTTATCTGTAGTCCCGAGCCCTGACTCTACAATATAGTATCTGTAGTCCCAGCCTTGACCGTACACTATTTATCTGTAGTCCCAAGCCCTGACTCTACAATATAGTATCTGTAGTCCCAGCCTTGACCGTACACTATTTATCTGTAGTCCCGAGCCCTGACTCTACAATATAGTATCTGTAGTCCCAGCCTTGACCGTACACTATTTATCTGTAGTCCCAAGCCCTGACTCTACAATATAGTATCTGTAGTCCCAGCCTTGACCGTACACTATTTATCTGTAGTCCCGAGCCCTGACTCTACAATATAGTATCTGTAATCCCAGCCTTGACTGTACACTATTTATCTGTAGTCCCAAGCCCTGACTCTACAATATAGTATCTGTAGTCCCAGCCTTGACCGTACACTATTTATCTGTAGTCCCAAGCCCTGACCATACAGTTTGTATCTGTAGATCGGAGCCCTGTCTTTATGCTGACAGAAGCAGTGATCATACACTTAGTATCTGTAGTCTTGAGGTGTAATTTTACACTGTGCATTTGTTGCCCCCTGGATTTTTTATTTGTTGTCTAAAGTGTGACCGTATGTTCGGTGTGATAGTATGTTAGGTGTGATCGTATGTTAGGTGTGACCGTATGTTAGGTGTGACCGTATGTTCGGTGTGATCGTATGTTAAGTGTGACCGTATGTTAGGTGTGATCGTATGTTAGGTGTGATCGTATGTTAGGTGTGACCGTATGTTAGGTGTGACCGTATGTTCGGTGTGATCGTATGTTAGGTGCGATCGTATGTTAGGTGTGATCGTATGCTACACATCTATTGTCTAGTGGTGTGACCGTATGCTAGGTGTACTGTGATCGTATGTTAGGTGTGATCGTCTGCTACACATTTATTGTCTAGTGGTGTGACTGTAGGCTAGGTGCACTGTGATCGTATGTTAGGTGCGATCGTATGCTACGCATCTATTGTCTAGTGGTGTGACCGTAGGCTAGGTGTACTGTGATCGTATGTTAGGTGTGATCGTATGCTACACATTTATTGTCTAGTGGTGT